AACTTATAAAGTAGAGGGAATTGTCAGGGAGAGAGGCTGCCACCTTATGTCCATTGCCAAGGGACTCCAAGAACCAGCCAAGCCTCCCTTAATTGAGTAGAATGACAATCAGCATGGTACTAAAACAGAGATGATTTTTATAAATAGAGTTGATAGCAGGATTTTTCCAACTTCTGATTGCTGTCTGGCTATGGTTCCACCCTTAGAAAAATTCTGTCCTTAGAGTGCCAAATTCAGAAGATGATTTTGCCCAACTCGTTACCACCCTATTTTCTGAATCTCTTAAAATAGAATTGAATCATAATTTAGAGAAAGAATCCAACATGCAAAAATGGATGGGCACATAGGATGAAGCCAAGTTTGTGGATGCATTTGCCCCATGAATAGTGAAATATTCTCTCTTAAATCTGAAAATGTTATTGAAGCACATTTTTTGAAATTAAAGTAAAAGTGAACTCTCTTCTCATAGTGGTTTGCTTTTGGGAAATAGAAATATCAGATGCTTGTTAACTCTGTCAGTTTTTGTCCCCTGTCCCAAGGAAAATACTATCTTGTCTTCTCTCTAAGTCTACTCCTCTATCAAGTTGACATTCCCTGCCCCTACCTCACCCCCACTCACACACACACACACACACACACATAGACACAGCAGTATTTGAATCAACACTACATAGCTAAAACTTGAGAAGAAAGACTACATGCAGAATTTGTTCATGCCTTGTGACAATGACTTAAATGTGTCCCATCCCCTTCTCCAACTCTCTGTTAAAGACACATGAAGGGCTTACAACTACTGCTATCTCAGAGACTCGGAGTAGCCTCTGAGTAAAGAGACTGGATCCTTTAGAAAACACTGCAGGGTGGAAGGGCTTTTGGGAGGGAAATGGTGGCAGCATCAGGAGCAATACTGCTCTTGGGTCTTGCACTGTCCCCACACCTTATCCGTGAACATTTTGTCCTTACCGGGTCCTCAAGTGAGCAAACTGAACACAGGCCTGTTGTGTTTTCAAATGCAAATCTCCCAAACATTACTTCTACAGGGACCCTGGAAGGCATACAAACTTACACTGTCTCACCCAATCCTCCCAGTGGTCCTGTGAAGTAGATGATATTTTACCCTCACTCTACAGAGGAGAAAACCAGAGTTCAGAGAAGTTCAGAGCAGGGCCAGGATTTGAACTGGATCTTCAGATTTTAAATTAGCATTCTTTTGATTTGAGCACCACCATTGTGAAGATCTGTCTTTTGACTAGAAAGAGAATACAAACATTTGGGACCGGCTTTTCAGGACAAAGTGCATTGGAAAGGGCCCCCATCTAGTTTGCATTCTCCTGCCTGCTTTCTTTTCCTGGCACTTCCTTTATTTCTGTTCTTTACTTGGGGCCATGTTCTTTCCAGATGAGCATTCATGGTTTGTTCCTTTCTAATGCTCTCTTACCTCTGGTTTACACAGACTTCATGGGTCAGGGCTTCTTTGGTTGCCCGACACTAGTTTAGGCAGATGGTGATAAACAGGTGAACCCAACACACTTCTGCTGTCAAAGAAAGTAGGGGAGAGAGACATATATTCAAATCTGTAATGCAAGTCCAAGTGTGAGAAATGTTCAAATGTGTGCATTTTGTTCTGTGAACCCAGGGGAAGGATCCAGCTGAAGACAACATCTCCTTCGTGTTCATTTCTTTGCCTCATCTGCTATTTTTGTACATAGAAGTCCAGTAAAACAAAATAGCAGGTAGATTTTTTAAAAAGACAGATAAAAGCATACCCATAGATAAAACCAACCTATACAAGTCACCAACATAAACCCCTCCTTCCTCCCTGTGTAACAGAGGGTTACAAGGAGTTTGTTTTGGGTGGTAAAAGCCCTGTTTCTGAAGCTTTGAGGGAGCAGTTTCAGATCCTAGATTCTTGGCCACTGTTCATTTTGACATTAAGTGAAGAAATGTGCAGTTTCCATGGAAATGGACCTATGAAAATTCGATGGCCTCTCTGGGCACTTGCTGGCCCAAATCTTCTCACTGTTCAAAGCAGAACTGGTGGTACTTCTAAGAGATATTTCTTAGAAAACCATTTACTAAAGTAGGAAACCCCATCACCAGACCCTTTTATCTAATGGTATCTTTAGAATTTGGCATAAGAATTAACTGCTTTGGGCCTAATGAAAACTAGACTAGTAATTTGTCTCCTTGAGTCAGGTCACCAATGGGGAGAAAGCTTCAAATTTAGCCAAAGGCAGTTAGTGAAAGTGCTAGATTCCAAGTGAGGATGATAGCAGAAAAGATTTGGGGATCTTGTTGCTACCTCTGCCATCTAGTCTTTCCACATGGCAGATGTGAAGCAGGCCCTGCCTATTCACCTGTGCCCTCCTGTGTGGAGAGCAGCCCCAGGCGTGGTAAACTGCATATTGCAAACTCATCCTGTGGAGACTCAATCTTGAACCACCTGGTTCTTCTCCCCTACTCACTGGAAAAGCTGCAACAGTCCTCAGCTGCCAGCTTCCTGTGAGGGCTCAGCAAATTCTTTCATGGTCACACTTCCTTCCTAGGGTGGCCTCCAGTTGATGGCTGATTGATAATTGGTTGTAATGGCTCATCCCCATTGGCCCTACTCAGGACAACTCTGAAGGGTCATCCTCTAGGGTCAGAAAAGGCTCTGTGGAGACTGCATTATAGCTCAACTTCATCCTCTGCCCAATTCTTCCCACAGGTATTAATCCCAAGAGCATGCCTTGGTCAATGTCTTGTCTACTAATCTCTATCTGCTCTCCAAGAACTTGACCTGTGGCAAAACCCAAGGTCTATAGGTTGTCCCAGTCAGGAGTATCCCCCACAGGGAAAGTGGGTCAAGGAAGTGAGCTACAAATGACCATCAGGTATCTGGCAGTGCTCCTCAACACAGGACATAGCGTGCAGTCTTACACTCAGTCTGCACCCGGTGTATCACTGTGCTTTCATTCTGTTCCCATTTAAATGAATGTGGTGCTCACATTTGCAGTCTGACTTTGATAATGACTAATGGCAGTCCCCTGGTAAAAGTATCCACACACTCATGCCACCTCTACCAAGAGGAGTCCTCTGGGCTTTCCTCTTCTTTGTCCCTCAGTTGAAGCATTTGCTGCCTTTCCTCTTTTGCTCTTATGTTTGCTTCTTGTGGCCTTGATTATTTAGTCTACAAACCTCTGCTGAAGACTTGCCATGTGCCTGACACTGTGCCCAGTGCTGGCAATGCAGATGGAAGGCTTGAGGAGCCCACCATCTATACCAGAGATAATCAACTACACATGCAATTTGAATGTACTGTCACTAGTGATATGGCACAAATTAAGTATGAGGTGTACCAGTGAGGGTCATCCAACCTAACCTGGGGCAGAGAGGATGTAACAGTAATGACAGGGTCAGGGAACATTTCTCAGAAAGGTGATATCTGAGCCCAGTCCTAGAGGACTGTTAGGTGTTAACCAAATGTATTAGTTTCCTATGGATGCTATAACAATTACTGTCAACTCAGTGGCTGAAACAACACACATTATTTATCTCACAATTCTGTTGGTCAGCCATTGAGAACCAGTTTTGCCAAGATATCAACAAGTCTGAGTCCTTCTGGAGGTTCTAGGGTGGAATTCATTTCCTAATCTTTTCCAAGTTTTAGAGGCTGCCTATATTTTTTTTGCTTGTGGCCTCTTCTTCCATCTTCGAAGCCACCAGCATAGTATCTTTTCTCCTCTCCAACCTCTGCTTCTGTCTTTACATTTTCTCTTCTTGATTCTCCTGCCCCTCTCTCCCAAGTCCCCCTGTTTAGGATGACGATGGGCCCACTCAGGTAATCCAGGATAATCTCACACACCAGGATCCTTAACTTAATCACACCTGCAAAGTCCCTTTTGCCATGTAAGGTAACATATTCATGTGTTCCAGGGATTAAGATGTGGACATATTTAGGGGGGCACTATTCACCCTTCAACACCAGTGACAACACCTGAGTCAACATTCCAGGCAGAGGGATGAATATGTGTAAGGACAGGAAAGTGTGGCTCGGTGTCATTTGGGCAGCTACAGACATTTCATAAGGTAGATGCATAAGTTTCAAGAGAGGCATGTCAAGAAGACATCAAGCTGGACCAAAAGGCAGGGGAGCCAGTTCATTTAGAACATTGTGTTTTAAACTTAACTTATCATATGTAACTTATCTCCCTATTTGCATATGAGCACCCAAAGCCAGGATTTGGGTTCACGTCTTTTAGATGCCACCATAGCTCTGGCTCAGTGACTGGCACAGGACAGGAGCTCAGCACATGTATGTGGCATCAACACATGCCAGCTTTGCCCTGCCATGACACCGTGGTGTCAGAGTGGTTTGAGCCAAGAACCAAAGGCTGGTGTGATCCTGGGCATCTTCATCCTGGCACTGTAGCTGGCCTGCTGGCACGGATGTTTCCTGAGCCAGAAGTGTGTGTGGTTACCATTGGGAAAAGGATTTTTAGAGTTTGCCAGATAAAACTGGCAAAATGGTCATTGTCAAGCTGGAAGATGGGTACATGAGAGCATATTATGCTTTTCTCTCTACTGGATATTGCCATAATATAAAGTTTTTACAAAGTTATATGAGCAGAGGTAAGGTGCACATTGCATCCCTAAAAAGCACCACGGGCACCAAAATGGGAGACAAGTCCATGGTAATAGCTGAGCCTAGACCAGGGTTAAAAGGGATGAAGACTCTAAAGCACTCAAGTCTATAACTTAATGAGGTAACATCTGTGCAGGTGCTTTTAACCGTAAACCTCTGCATACCCATGAGAGACTTTTCCTCAGTTATTAATGCAAACATTATCTCCTCAGAAATGAGGCCATTTTTATTCTTCTGTGTAATTAATGAGTTGAATTTCCTTCCCATCCAGGAACCTCAGGGCCCACCGAAGTAGTCCCTTCTCCATGTAACCTCTCTTTAACATGCTTCATTTAAGATATGCTTGTTTTCTCCCCTCTCTGTCCCTCATCCCCAGACACTGAAGGACGCCAGTGACAACGCACGCAAGGACTTCCACCGTGAGGCCGAGCTGCTGACCAACCTCCAGCATGAGCATATTGTCAAGTTCTATGGTGTCTGCGTGGAGGGTGACCCACTCATCATGGTCTTCGAGTACATGAAGCATGGTGACCTCAACAAGTTCCTCAGGTAGAGCAGCGGGGAAGGGCCAAGGCAGGAGGTGGGCTCAAGGTGGGAGCAGGCAGTCATGGTTCAGACAGCCTGAGTTAGAGCCTCCTAAGTCGTGTCTGCCCTAACATGCTGTTTTCTTTCAAAGAGAGCTGCCTTAGGCTTTGAAAGATGAGCAAATGTGCTGCCCGTGATTTCTTGGTAGATGGTGTAATTTAAAAGAAACAGGAACGATGTCAGGGGCAGGTGGCTAATTTGCACCTGCGTTTGCTGGCCTCAGTTTCCTTCCATACAAAGAGGGTATAACACTATCCACATAAAGGGCTAGTGCCAGGACTATTGTGATGGGAGCTAATCAATAAATGTCTCCACACCTTTCTTCTCTGCCTCATTTTCCTGGGACATTTAGTATACCTTCTGTGTTATGGTAACACCCACACCTCTGTTCTCTTCTGTTTTTTGTGGGTGCCAAAGAGGGCTTTCCACCAAAATCAGTGCCAGTAGCTTCATGCAGCCATAGGAAGATTCAGAAACTGTGCAGTCTAAGGAATAAGCCGATTACTGAGAGAGCAGTAGAAGGAAAGACTGTACTTCTGTGTTCAGAAAGTTATCATGTGGCCGTTTTGATCCCTTTCACCATCTCTAGTCTCATAAATACATGTGCACTTAGTTCTCCTTTGCGAAGATGGGCCCCATTTTTCTGCTTTGCTTCTGGCTGTGTGGGTGATGAAATGCCAGGTAAGATTAGGAATATGGAACCAACTCATGGTGTTCAGAGACAGTCATCCTAATCATGTATTATCTAAGGGCAGTAAAGTTTTTCTGGTAGGGGATAGGAGAATGGATGATGGTAGTGTTTGCATACCATCTTGTCGGACCTAATGGGAAAGGAGAAAAAGAGGCTGAATTTGGTTGAGGTCTACCTGTTCATAGGAGAAACAGTTTTTCTTTGTTCCCATGCTCTGAGCTACTTCTTTAATTACAAATGGTGCTTTCCCCAAACACATAATAAATCCACATGTGCTCACCTGGATACAATTAAATGGTCCTGTGAGCTCAAACTGTGCACACAAGTGTAGCACACATGTGTATCGATTTTTTCATTTTTCAGCTCCATGCCTTCTCCCTAGCTCTCCTTCCTGCCCTCCAGAGGGAGCCCGCACCAGGTTCTCTCTTGGCATCTTACGCAGGGCATGAAGCTTTTGGAAACGTCCTTTGCTCCATTTTAGAACCTGCTGAACTCTGGGAACAAGAGGTTTTCCATGCCAAGACTCAGGTTATTAGGTGTGATATTGTGCCGAGAACAGTCTATCCAAAGGGAACCCAGCCCTTAAACCGCCACGAATGCATTCCCACGTGTCATTGGCACTGCCCTATGAAGACAGATGCCCTCAGTTATCTCCCACCCTTTTTATTTCTCCAAAGGGCATCCACTGAGTGCCAACATGGTCAGGCTAGCTGGGAAATGAGCAGTAAAACAAAGACCTTGGTTTCAAGGAGATTAGAGTTTCTCCTCTAATCTTTCCAGAATCCCTGTCTAATGAGGAGAACATAAACAAGGCTTTTTTCAAGCAATGAGAACTAATTTTATTAAGCCTTTCTGAGAATTTTAAGTGTTGTAATTTGTATTAACTTTATAAACTATTATTACCATCATTATAATTTTACAGTTGAAGAAACTGAGTCACACAGCTAGTGAGTGACAGGGCTTGGATTCAAACCCACAGCCTCTGGCTGCAAAACTCATGGCTTTTCACCACCGCTATCCTTCCCCTTGAGGTAGCTGTTAAAAAAGCGGAAGTAAATCACCATGCTATGGAACTCCAGAGCTGGAACAGTGTGGCTAAGGGCCAACTATAATCTGCATGGAGAGTACAAGCCAAGGAAGGGTGAGCAGCTGAACCTTCCTGCTCTCCATGCCAGGGGGCTGATGGGGCTTTTTCCCTCTTAAAGAATGTTCTCCTGGCAGAGATGAGATGTGTTTTTCCCAAGAGCTGCAGGGTAACCTGAAGAGTGAAACAGAGGGCTGTTGTGTTAACTTTATTTATACTCTTCTTAAGAGATTGCTTAGAAAACTTACCTGTCCTTTATTTACAGCAGGACTTTCTGTTCAAGGGAAGCGAGCAGACGCCTGCCCCATCCTAGGCATGGTTGTGCAGAGTGTGGTAGGCTTTGGAGGACTGCCAGCTTTCTGGAGCCTTCTGAGTGTGAGGCTAGAGGACGGGGTTTTGTGCAGAGATGGCCTTTTGCACTGACCTCTAACTTTTACTTTTCCCCGGAGTTTTTGAAGGGACAGATTCTTAGAGGAGTCTAGGCTGTGGCTAATCAACAACTTATTTCACTCTTTGCACTAAATCTTGAGGTTTTCACACTGGCTTTGATTCTTTGGATATTTCAGGATTTCCCATAGTTTATGTGCTCCCCTAGGTCCTTCGCCTGGTACTGAGGTCACATAAGGTTTCCTGTGATGAGTGAAAACATTCTCACTTTCCCTGCCTCTTAGTGCTGGGAAAGAAAGGTTGGGCTTGAACAAACTTTAGTGAGGTGGGAGGGGCCAGCCCCTCAGAAGCCCTAAGAATGCGGTCACAGGCCTATCACAGAAAAGAAATACCTGAAGGAGAGGTTGTATTTTCACTTCACCTCTCCACTTATTTTTTAAGGAAGCTCTTTGGTCCTGGATGGGTAGATCAGTTGGTTAGAGCATTGTCCTGAAATTCCAAGATTGCAAGTTTTATCCCTAGTCAGGGCACATGTAAGAATCAACCAGTGAATGCGTAAATAAGTGGAACAAGAAATTGTCGTCTCTCTTTCTCTCTCTCTTCTCCCCCTTCCTCTCTCTATAAAATCAGTGAGTATAAATCTTAAAAAATTCTTTTTAAAGAGGATCTTTTTTTGCACAGCCATTCTCTCTGCCTTTTTTAAAGAAGATTTTATTATTTATTTTTTATAGAGAGGTGAAGGGAGGGAGGAAGAGAGGGAAACATTGGTGGGAGAGAGAAACATAGATCATTTGCCTCTTGCATGCACCCAAATAGGGATCCAGTCAGTAACCCAGGCCTGTGCCCTGACCAGGAATAGAACTGGCAACCTTTCGCTTTGTGGGATGATGCCTAACTCGCTGAGCCACACCAGTCAAGGCATTCTCTCTGACTTTTTCTAAAAAGTCATTAAATTTACTGGGTGACATTGGTTAAGAAAATTATATAGGTTTCAAGTGTACAATTTGATAATACATCATCTATATATTATATTGTGTATTTTCCACTCAACATCAAATCTACTTCCATCACTATATATTTGACCCCCTTTAGGGGCATCAAACTCATTTTCGACAGGGGCCACATCAACCTCACGGCAGTCTTCAAAGGGCTGAATGTAATTTTAGGACTGAATAAATATAACTATGCCTTAACTAGGAGCAAGGACCTCGGTGCTGCTGCTGTGCAGAAACAAGGTGGAGGGCCGGATTCAGCCCATGGGTCTTAAGTTTGGCACCTGTACTTTTTACATAAAAGTTAAAGGAGGTAAAAACATTTTAAAAAGAGAAGACAATAGCTATGCAATTTCTAAGTGAACTCAGCCTAAATAGGGATAATTTGTGACAACAAAGACATAAAAGGGGAGGGATAAAGGTCTCTCTGGCTTTTTGATGAAAAGCCACAAAATACCATAAAAGCAGAGTTTTGAATGCTCCTCACTTCAGTGCACTGAGGGAAGTGCAGTCAGTATCTCCACTTTACAGATGAGGAACCAGGTCCAGAAAGGTTCTGTAGCTCACCTGAGGTCAACACTAGTGTGTTAGGACAGGATTCAGACTCAGTTCTGATGCCCAAGAGCCTTGCCCGCTGCACAGGAAGACTCTTCGCTCCAGCAGGAGATCGCTGAGCTGAAGAGACCCTGGAGGCATTTCCTTGTGTGATGCTCCCCAGTGTGACAAGAGGAAGTCAAGGACTGTGGTTTGAGTGGAAGAGAAATAAATGTCTTAGAATTTGCCTTGAGCAAAAATAGAAAGCTCCTCCCTAAGAACCATCCAATCAGATATTTAGAAATGGAGGGGACCTAAATGATCACAGCATAATATCCTCCTATGTTTCTGACTGATGGGGAAATCACACACTGGAAAAGTTAAAAGGTCCCCCCAGATCAGGTGCTGGACACCCCAGCGACTGAGAAACTCCCCACCTCCTTGCCCAGTGCTTGTTCTTTAGGAATAAAAGAACGAAAGAGCAGATGGTCGTATGTTTTGGAAATCAGGGAAAGGGGGAGCCACTGTGTGTTGGAGCCCTGATGGATGGGATAAATGCCTGTGCTTGAGTTAACTCATCCCACTGAGGGTGGGGCTGGCAGGGGTGGGGGTTGGGGAGGGGCAACACTACTAGATGGAGGTTCTTGGAGAATTCTGCTCTCACATTTTCAAACACACAGCTCTAGAACCTTGCAGGTATAGTCACCACTTTAAAATTCATTTAAAATTTTCTGTATTTATGTTAAGTGTCTGGAAAGAGATGTTATTAGCACTGACTTTGAGAGGGAGAAGCCCTTTGACCTTGCTTTTTACTTCTTGCCCCACAGCGCCACCTCTGGCTTCCAGGAGCAGTGACATCAATCCTGGCTCACCCCTCAGGGTTCCAGAGTGGGGATGCAGGTCCTGACTACAGATCCTGAGACTGGGACCCTCCCCTCCCTGGAACACCTAGAAGCGTTACAATGCCTTACATCAGTGATTTTCAACCGGTGTGCCACAAGAATTTCTAAAACATGCAATGCCTGACTATTCAGTCATAGGCACCAACCTCTTTTCCCCTAGATTGTCAAATAAAAAAAATGACAACAGCCAAGCAAATACCCTATCTGGTGTGAATAAATCAAAATGATACCCAATTTTGGTGAGATTTACCAAAAATATAATATACATTTTGGTGTGCTGCAGAATTTTAGTAATTAGTTTATGTGTGCCATGAAATGAAAAAGTTTGAAAATCACTGCCTTAAATCATTCCACAGTTGGGAAAAGGCTGATGTGTAGGATGGGGAAAAGAGAAGATACAAAAGATCACAATCTAATCCCCAAAAAGTGTAAGGAATGAAAGTTCCCCAGGAAAAGAATAAATGTGTTGTGATTCAAAGACGCTCTCCTACATGGTGGCCAGTGCATGAGCTGAGATGGGTGGGGAAGGAGTAGGCACAAGGAGATGATATTTTTCACAGGAAATGAATGCCCAGGCCAAGTGCCCTGGGATTCTGCTGAGATGGTTTTGCAGGAGATGAGGGCAGTTTAAAAACCACAGAGCAGGTGGAATGGGGGACGCTGGAGATGCCAGCTCCGGCCCTGGTGGGGCACTCCAGACGGGTTGGCCTGGGTGGCAGGTACTCAGCTGCAGCATGCGGCCAGGAGGAATGGGAGGGGTGGGACTCAATGACCCACTGCTCTAGGAGAGCCAAACTCTCTTTTTAGTTTGGGTTTTCTGTCTGTTTTGTTTTGTTTTGTTTTGCTTCAGCCACCTACTGCTTTTCAGGGGCAGGGGGTCTGGCCAGTGCCTGACCACCAGCATACTTCTGGAGGCCCTAAAACATGAACCTGTCCGTATGTTGGGGTGGGGGCACCTTCAGGTCCACATGGAATTCTAGACTTTCGGGAATTGAAGCCTGGGTGGTGTTGAAGTATAACTGTGGGTGAAGCGTGTTTTCCTCCTCTTCCTGCACAGTTGGGCAGCATCTTTTAGCACCAGCAGCTGATGGGAGCCAGAGGGACAAAGGGCCCCTCCAGGCAAAGAGCTCCAGCAATTCCTTCTATGTCCTCTACAGGGCACATGGACCTGACGCCGTGCTGATGGCCGAAGGCAACCCGCCGACGGAGCTGACGCAGTCACAGATGCTGCACATTGCCCAGCAAATCGCAGCGGGCATGGTATACCTGGCGTCTCAGCACTTCGTGCACCGAGACCTGGCCACCCGGAACTGCCTGGTCGGCGAGAACCTCCTGGTGAAAATCGGGGACTTTGGCATGTCCCGGGACGTGTACAGCACTGACTACTACAGGGTGAGTCCCTGCGCCCACAGGAGGACCCCAGGGCCCCGTTTCCCTGGGAGTCCCTGCTTTTATTAGTTTGCTAGGGCTGCCGTAACAAACTACTGCGGGCTAAGTGGCCTAAACAGCAGACGTTTATGTCCAAGATTAAGGTGACTGCAGGATTGGTTTATTCTAAATTCTCTCCTTGACTTGCAGAGAGCACCTTGTCCCTGTGTCCTCACATGGATTTTCCTTGGTGCGTGCACAACCCTAGTGTCTCTGTGTGTGTCTAGTTTCCTCTTCTTATGAGAACACCAGCCAGACTGGAGTACCTCCCACTCTAACAGCCTCATTTTAACTTAATCACCACTTTAAGGCCAGGTCTCCAAATACGGCCATATTCTGAGGAACCGGGAATTAAAACCCCAGCGCATACCTCTGGGAAGAGCACAGTTCAGCCCACAACACCTATCCTGCTCTTTTCGTGCGTGGTTTTCCAGAGCAGTGTGTGATGTCTCGACAAGGAAAGTTCTCAGCCTGAGAATTTTGCCAGGGAAATTTGAGGGCTTGGGGGAATTCCTAGAGGGCATGAAGTTAAAGAATTTTAAGGTTTGCACTTGTTCTGTGAAATTATGTCTGGAGCCTTTGTTTGAGGCCTGGCCTCAGGTAAACTCTTTATATAAATAATCATACACCAGGCCTTGGAAGTTTCCACACAGAGCCATCTTAGTTGACAGTGGATTAGCTGGTGGCCTTGGTGAAATGTGAGAAGTTTCATCCGGCCTGTTTCTGAAGAGCCCCACCCAGCCCACCTGGGGTTCCACCACTAAACACACCAAGGGATAGTTATAAACAATAATTCATATCCACTGCTTACCAGGAACTGGGCCTTTGGCATGTCCTATTTGTTAACTAAGATCTTGGGATTCAGGTATGAGACAGCTTTGCTGATCTTGATGAACATCTAATGGAGAAATGTGTGGCCTAAGCAACAGCTTTCTCTTTAGCAGTAAGTTAACCAAGGTCGCAGAGTGCCTGGCACAAAGTAAGTGCCCAATAAATGTTTTCAACCATATCATTATCTGAATCAATAAAGTTATGCTTTATTTCCAAAGCTAGGACTGAGCTAGGTAGAACCCAATGTCCTTTTCCACAGTCTCTAAAATAATAATGCAAAGGAAAAAAGCTGGAAACTCTCAACAATGTGAAAGTAAATCACTCCATTAAAACATTGGCAAAGGATTTAAGTAGAAATTCTTCAAAGATAATATACAAGTGGCCAATAAGCACATGAAATGATGCTCAATATCATTAGTCATTAGGGAAATGCAAATCAAAACCACAATGAGATACCACTTTATACTCAATGGGATGGCTGTAAGAAAAAATAGACAAAACAAGTGTTAGTGGGGGTGTGCAGAAATTGGAACCATCCTAAACTGCTGGTGCAAATGTCAAATGGTGTGGCTGCTTTGGAAAACAGTTTGGCAGTTCCTTGAAATTCAACAATGAATAACCCAGCAGTTCCACTCGGAGGCATATACCCCAGAGGATCGAAGTTGTAGGTTCACACAAAAACTTGCACAAAGATGAAATAGCACCATTATTTGTAATAGCTATAAAGTGAAAATAATATGTGTCTTTCAACTGATAAGTGAAAATATCATAACTTATGCAGTGGAATGTTATTTATTAATTAAAAGTAATAAGTACTGATTCATGCTATAACATGGATGAACCTTGAAAACATTATGGGAAGTGAAAAAAGCCAGACACAAAAGGTCACATATTTTATGATTCCATCTACATAAAATATCCAGAAAAGTCAAATCCATAGAGACAGAAAGTAGATTAGTAGCAGCCAGGGACTGGGAGCAATAGAGAAAGAGTGTGAAAGCTACTAGATATGGAGTTTCTTTCGGGGGTGATGAAAATGTTCTAGAATTGTGTACCGGTTGTTTGGTATATTTATAGATACACTGAAAACCATTGAATGTGTATGTTAAAAGAGTAGATATTATGGCATGTAAATTATATTTCAATTTTGAAAATCTGAAAAAGACAATTCTAGCAAAATGACAACAGTAGACATAATGGGTTAGTCCTGGTTGTTTACACATCATGAGAATATCTTGCCATCTACCTTATTTTATTATATGTTACAAAGAAACATATAATAAAGAAAAGTCCCCACTTAGATGCCTTATTCTTGAAGTACTTCCTTCTGATTGATTGAAGAATGATTTCCAGTTCCTTATTTGTTAAATGTTCCTGGAGCTAGCCCAGTCATTAAGATGCCACCTTTATTCAACCCCCTGCCCCACACCATGGTCTCTGCTCAGGTGCAGCTGCAGGGTTCATAGTGTTTCCTTGGTTGGTTGTTGTTCCCACTGAGGAGGAGGAAGAAGAAGAACCAGACTTACATTGGCCTCTGGTGTAGGCGGGAAGAGCAGGTGAGGAATGTAAGACCTGGCAATGTGATAGTAGTTAGGAAAACCAAGAAATCAATGACTTTCACTTGGCCTTCTCTAAGATTTCAAAATGATGTTTTGAAAACATCATGGAAACTTTTTGGTTCCATGATAGTATTTATCATGGAATTCCTCTGCAGAATATTTTTTTGCTTATTAAAACATCAAAAGCATATCAGTGGGGTCCATCCTGTTGAATTTGTGAGGCAGACAAGCAGAAGCTGTTGCTCTGTGTTTGCTGGTAAACTTCAGAACATCTTACAGTGGCGATTCCCAGAACACTCTTGGCTGTCACATCAATTATCTACCTGTTGTACCACCTGTAAGCTTGGTGTTAAACCCCTCCCCATCATGGTGCCTCTTCATCTCCTCTGTCACAGCAGCTGGGAAATGTGTTCACTTTACAGTTTGGGTTTCTCCTTTGCAGGCACCTCTTCTTTATTCTCCTCTAATCTTCTTCAAAAGCCTGCACCCTCCACAGTGACGGGATGCTGTAGATAATGTGACTTGTGTTAAATATCCTTTCCGCCATAGTGATGAGGGAGGATTTTTGTGTTAGCCGAGGCTATTTTATATAGAAGGATGGCGATTGGACCTGGAGTCCATTTTACTGAGAAGTAACATGTCCCTTATTTTTAAGCAAGAACCAGTCTCACTGGCAGCCCAAACGGTCTCCTTCTGGTGACTTATGAGCAGCCTTGTGGGGTGACCACAGCTCTGTGCCATTTGGGGCGGGAGTGGTGATGGCAGCTGTTTCTCCATTGGTGGTGGAGCGAGGGGAGCTGGAAGCACCAGGAAACGGCTGCCTCAAGGCTTCCACCCTGTTGCAGCTGAGCTAATTATATCTTCCCAATGAAGGAGGAAATCGGAACGCTACATTTGCATTGAAACCAGCCTGATATGGTGGGTCCAAAATTACTCTAGCATTTATGTTCTCTGAATTGTTTTAATTAGCAGCTCTGCAGTACTTGTCTTCTATTTTGCTTTTATTCCCTCCCACCACTGGCAAAACCTGACATTTAGGGAACATCTGAACCAGATTTCTGTCACATTTTATCTATCACAGACCTAGGATCTTGCTCTACTTGGTCATTACTATGCCACAGTGGATCCACTGAAATTTTTCTAATGTGCACTTTGGTATTTTTCGTCATTTGGATCTAATGTGTGCTCAAAATGAATGTGATCTGTTGGTGAATAGAGAGCCCTAAACCTCTGAGATCCTAGCTTTTATGTCTTTTTCTCCTTTGGGCTTTAGTGTTATGTTAGACTGGTAAGGAATTCTATTCTTTAATTCATCTTCCACTTAAGAGGGAAAGAAAAGGAAGTGGATTAGGCATTGATTTAGGGTAAACTTTTAGCAAAGTAAATGAATATAACTTGACCAAACAAGACCATGGTCAGAATCCTAAAATGTTAAAATAGTATTAGTAACAAAGTCCAAAATTCATCTTTAGGTGCTCAATCCCAGGTTGTGAGCTGCAGAGAGAAAAGATGGGTTGTACTAAAATCAGCTGATAGAACAAAAAATAAAAAGAACTGATTTGAACTTCAGAACTTTTTCCTGCCCACACTGGAGTGAGAGGGGTGATGGACTAGAAAATAAAGTCCTAAACCACAGAGGAGAGGGGAAGGTTTAGATGTTTTAAAAACTGGACAAACACATAACAAATAATCAAGGGTTAACTTTCATGCCTCAGTCTTTGAAAAGAATGTATTTATTTTTAAGGAATATTTTCATGTAATGTGAACCCTTCTAGATTATATGGGTAGGTAGTCAGATTAGATAGATGATAGATAGATAGATAGATAGATAGATAGATAGATAGATAGATAGATAGATGATAGATAGATAGATAGATAGATAGATAGATAGATAGATAGATATTGACACATTTCACAATTGTTTTCAGTGAGTGGTTGTGTAATATGCCAATGTCATTTCCTTTGTGAGAAATATAATTGCACCTCCCTGGTGAATGACTGCTAATTCTTAAGAGGTAATTCTAGCTTCACCTGCTCCCTGACTTCCTGCAAACAGAGTAAGTGCTCATGAATCTGAAGTCTCTCAATACTTTATATAAATCAACATTACAGTGTAGAGCACGTTGCATCATGGAAATTTGTTTATATATGTTTCCCACTAATAGGAGAGCAAAAACAAGATGATAAGTTATACATCTTTGTATCCACACAGACTAGCTATATCAGGCAGTCAATCAATGACTATTGAACAGGATGCACATCAGGAAAAGCCTTTATGAGTGAGTCTTTTTAGCCCTGTAGATAAATAGAGAAGATGCTCAGATCACAGGTGTGCCTGGCTATGAGACTAGGAGCACTGACTTTAAGAAGTAAAGCTAGGGATACGGGGAATGTCCTTATCTCCGACAATTTCTTTTCAATGGTGAGCTCAAAGCTGAAACTCATTTGAGTTTATACTATAGTGGAAAAACTTCCTTTGGTATACTCTGCCTAGAACCTTTAAAAACTAGGCACAGTGTCCAACTTAAGAGGCAACACATCCCCTTCCCAAAAGAGGAAAGTCCTCTATGTCAT